TCCAAATATAAAAAATTACTGCCACCATACACCACCATCATGCTAGAGAACACTCTTCCAACACCGTATGCCACCGAAGATTGTATAAAACACTTGAAAGGACAATGGAGAGTCAGAGACGGCTGGAAATGGCCAGAAAGGGCATAAACGGCCAGAAAAACCCTTGCCAGATAGCCACGATTCATGGCCAAAAGGGTGTAGACTGAAGCTGCCAGGCTGCCGACAGCAATTTGCAGAATTTCAACTACTTTTTTTTAAAACTTTAAAATAATTTAAATTATAAGATTGGATATTTTTTTAATCATAATACTATATTTTAAAAATAATTATTTATAATTTTAATTATTTATATTTTATATTAAGAATTGGCATTTTACAATATATTAAGAAAACGGTAGTATGGTCATTTAGGCTATCTTACCCATTCTCTCACTCCATTGCCCCAGACACAAACTAAAGTCGCCTAGCATTACTACCCTTACTTTTATCCTACCTCGCCCAGATTGCCAAATGTTGTCTTGTACCATAACAAGTGAGTGAAGAATAAACTTATTTGATTTATTTATTATTGGACTATTTGTTTCTGCTCTTGAAGGTATAAAGGAAGTATTCTATGGCTGTAAAAATGATAAATTTGGAGGATGTGGGTCAATATTATCGCTTCATTCAAGTATTCCGGGGCCTTTGATTAGGTAAGTTTCTTTCTTAACCCAAGGCTCCTTGCAAGTTTTTACTGACTTTCTATTCCTTTAATTCTCACTGACTTTCATGTTTTGTTCTACGAATATATCAGTATTTTGGCACGGAAAAAATTGCACTATAACGTCTATATTGAATAGTAGATGCATTAATACAAAAGAGAAATCAACTAGTAAGAAAATCCAACATTTGACTGTTAAGAAAATTGGAGAACTTCTTTTTGCATTGCTCCAAAAGAAAACAGTCAAGTCATTCATAGATTATAGATACAGTCACACATAAGTATGTTGAATAGTAGGTGCATAAATACAAAAGAGAAATCAACTAGTAAGAAAATCCAACATTTTGACTGTTAAGAAAATTGGAGAACTTCTCTTTGCATTCCTCCAAAAGAAAACAGTCAAGTCACGATTAGACTATAGAGATAGAAATATATAAGTAACTATTAGTAATGATAAGCACATATGAGGCTTGCTTGATGGTGCATAGGTATAGTTATAAATAACTATGTAAGAATTTTATTTTTTAGTTTATTTTTATGTTTTTTATTTATATTTTGTTTTCTTACTTTTAGTAGGAGTTATGTTTATAATCTTGTTATTATGAGTATTTCTTAGTCTAATCCAATATCGGAAAGAATTATTTGACACTCTATAAATACCTTCATAATCTCCTTTGTGATCATCATCAGTTATTCTATAAAATACTTTGAGAATTTCTTAGTATTTAATTGTGTGATTTAGTTAAAAGCATGATATTTGAACACCCAAAGTGTAATATCTTGGTTTTCTCCAATCTCCTAATTAGGCAAATTTTTCTTCAACGTTTGATATTAAAATTAAAGAAT